ATGTATTATTCACTTCATCTGACTGAGTTTGAATTACTTTGCAAAGAACAAAGAACTGAATTTCAGTTTCTTGATGTGTAAAGTTGTTAAAAACCCAAAAGATTTGCAGCTGTAGAGCTGATTCCAGAAAATACCGACTCTGGAATACGGAAAGAAACAAAAGCCACATGGACGAACGGATGGATGAGAGTTTTCCTTGTGAAAAAGAAGATCACAACTGTTTTTCCAACTATTTAAAAGGAACTCAACAAACAGGGTAAAAATCAGCAGTTTTTCCCTGAGCATGATGCAGCAGGAGATGGAAAAATCTGGTCAAATAAAACAGTTAATGAGGAAAACTGTTCAGAAGTGACATTAAAGGACCTGCGCTCTGCGTCTCAGAGGAAATACTCAGTGCCGCTGTGATCGGAGGGTTGTGTGTCTGCTACCTCGTTATAATTGCCTCTGACTGGGGTTATCTCACTGCGGGTAATTGCAATAATTGCCTTCTTTCCTGTCATTCTGCACCAACTTCCAGCAGAAACAAAGAAAAATATTCATATCTTCTTCTATTTAATAGCTGGGAGTTTCGAGTAAAAATAAAAAAAAGCACTGCATATAATCAAAATTAATTAAATGATTTATTTAATTAATCAAAAAGGAAGACAACAGAACAAAGTTCGGATGGTGAAAGGTTCAGTGCAGCAGAGGAAACTGTTATTTTTCATCCCTGAAACATTTCAGAGCGCGAATAAAAACTCTGCATGGCTGCATGCTTTTACCACGGTAGCAAATTCAACAAAAACGAGAAGCCAATAACGATCAGACAGCAGAACAAAGACCCGAACAATGTGGCCGATCCGCAAGGCCCAATCTATTCAGTCTGATTCTACGCTTTGTGCTTAGTATCTATTTTAAATTATGTTTTAGAATTTATAATTTCACTTTCTGAACCATTTCAAAGGTTTGTTGTAGTTTATTTTTACATGTTTGACAAATCTATTGTTCTTTTCAACTTCATTTGAATTATTTTACATTGCTTAGTTTAGTTTATTGACAATAATTATTAATAAAATAAGAGTTATTAAATGTTGGTAATATTTCCTGTTGGAAAACTTTAATTAAAAACAGAATGTATAAACTTTTATCTCATAAAAAGAGAATTATTGGCCAGATGATTTTTAAAAATGTGGTAATATTTGACTAATTCATGATTCTCTTAGTAATTAAATCCTTTTGATTTAGACATCAAACAAGTCTAAATGTAAAACTCCTGATTTCCTTAAATCATTTTACAGAAAATGTGTTAAGATATTCCAATCACAATTAATAGTGATGGCTGTTTGCAGGAATCTGTGTTACAGTGGATTTCAAGAAGCCTCTGACTGAAGACAATTAGCAAATAAATTTATAATTCAGTACATTTATGTCCTGAGTTTAAGAAACAAAATGTTTTAAGTCAGTTCAGCTGTTTTTCTGTCGGCTGATGATGAACCTCAGGTATCGGTGCATCGCAGTTTAACAGGAAACTGAACATAACAGAAATCACAAATGAAAAGTTAAAGTTTTTCAGTGCCAGGGAAGCACGTTTTTATGCTTTGTTTGTGAGCTGAAAGCAGAAACTTCCTGGCTGCGGTGGGATGTGGCAGGTCAATCTCTGCCACTCAGCATCCATCCCAGGGAGGTCTGCCCCAGGTTGCCACGGATACCGGCAGTCTCCTCCTCTTCCTCGCCCGCTGAAGGAGCGAGGCTGAGAATTAATTCTCCTTTGGACCTTATTTCTTCTTCCCGCTCGGCGGCAGAAGACGGCAGCGATAAGCCGGACTCAGTTAGTCGCTGCGGCCGTGATGCAGCGCTGGAATTACCTTTAACTGCTCCGCTAATGTGAAAAGCGGGATGATGTATGTGAAGGTGATGACGGGGCAGCAGCGGCGTCAGGCAGCTTTTTTACCTCCATGCAGGGTGAATAATAACCACTCAGGTCAGCAGCAGCGCTTTATTTCAGCTCACCTTGCAGCGTCCTGCTGCGGCTGCTTGAAGCCCGCAGATAAAACCAGAACCGAGTCAAACAAGGACACGCAGTGATAAGAAAACCCATCCTGCAGCTCACCGCACGCTGCTACAAATCATTCAATCTGTCAATTATCGACTTCTCTTCTTCTTTATGGTCTGTAGATTTCACTCAGAGCTGGTTTTGGTTTACTTGAGCTGCCAAAACACAAAATCTTACAATGCATTTTATTTTTGTTTCTATTTCAAATACATCAAAACCATCAAACTAGACAAAACTAAGTCATAAGTAACTTTTTAGCAAAATATAGGAGCTGTTTTAAGTCAATACATTCAAAACATTGTTGAAAAAGTACAAGTTGAAACACCAGATTATTTAAACGATCATAAGAGATTTTTCCCATAATCTATAACGGTGTGCCAAACTCATTTTCGTTTTGGGCCAAATCAAGATCGCGAATGCTCTTAAAGGGCCGGTTGTGCCAGAATGTATTCATAAAACCTGCTAAAAACAGTTTCTTAAATCCATTTCTTAAAATTAAATAATATTACTGAACATCTTTTCAGTTCCTCCAGAATTTCACGATTGTTTTTGTGATTTTTTTGCAATAAAAATCAAGGTTTTTGTGCTGCTAATTTGGAAATATTTGCAATATTTGCACTTATTTATGACAGTAAATGTGACTTTTTATTACTCGCCCAGCCCTAATTTCACACCAGGGGCCTCCCAGTTGGTCTCGTCTTTCTGATCCCAGCGTTCCCAGAGTGTTCGGACGCTGCCACTCCAGTGATTGATGGAGCTATTCTTGCTGTGGTGATCCGTTACGTAAAACCCCGTCAGACCCTAAAAATAAGAGCTGGCTTTCTAGGACGTTCATTGTTTGTTTTACTGCAGCAGCAGCAGGAATCCGAAGCCCCCCGACCGCCCGAACTGCGATCCGCCGCGCGACCCCTCCCACATTAGTCACATTAGAGCCGGCCACGTGCGGCGGTGCATGAAGGTTAGTGACGTTTGGCTCAATGTGACGACGGAGGGAGGGAACCTGGAAGTGCTCGGTTTCCAAACAACCAATAGGAACCAAGCAGAGAGCCAATCAGCAGACAGAGGTCCAAAGTAAATATAAAACGACGACAGAGTTCACACATCTGAAAGTTTGCGAAACTTAAATGAAGAAACACATCTTAAATCTATATTTTTCACTTTGTAATCTTCTGTTTTATCTGTTTTTACTCAGTTTTTACACTTTTTAAGACCACTATGAATGAAGTTTAAAATCTACAGCATGTCCGAAATTTCCAAAAACTATTGCATACTTCATTAGTAGTGCCTTTTTGCACAGAATGGATGCAGCATCAAACATGAGTCAGTGGCAAGACAGACGCAAAAAGACAGAACCCTCTGGTAAGCTAGCTAGCAAGAGTTAATTAGCAGCTAATTAGCAGTAGCAACTAGCCTCCAGTCACAGAATATAATGAAGATGTATTTGTCTGATTTAAACTTTTACCTGATAGCAAAATCCAACAACAAAAATAATGACATAGAACATATGAGATTAAGTAATTCCGCCAGAAATCTGAAAACTGCTGAAACACTGTCGGCTGTGATGAACCATAATTATTCTTATGTGTCATTAAGCAAAAATTGTCAACCAACAGCCTGCAACATTCTGTCTTCAATAATCTTTTTTAGTGGCAAAATATTGTCAAGGATAAAGGAGAAGCAGGTTGGCCAACATGTCGATACTTTTAAAGGAACAGTAAAATTTAAAATCTTTTTTTTTAGCTTTATATCATATTATTAAAGTTGTTCCCTCATCAAAATCAAACCTGAAGTGCTGCTTTGATTGTTTCACGCATGTTTGAGAAATCCTTTATCTCCACTGCAACCATTCAGCTGTGCAAAATGTCTGGGTGGACTTAGCTCCGCCTTCGAGACGTACTCCCCCACTCAGCTCCTTCAGACTAGCCAGGAGCAATTAGCAAACCCTTGGCGGAACTGAGCATTTAATGAGATCATTATAGGAGCTACTTCCCAGTGCAATGCTGGTATAAATGTGGCTAAAGGGTTAAAATAGCCGCCAGGTCATGATGACTTCCTGAAGGTGAAGTTTCAGAAAGAGTCACAGCTTTTTAAAGAGACAGAGACCCAATCCCATGGCGTTAAATTACAATGTCAAATTTGTTTTAAGTCATATTTGACATATGCAGCATTTTTATAACAAATGAAGGCAACAGTTACTTTATTATGCTATAAAATGTGCCTAGAAATGACATATTACCGCCTCTTTAATGTTTTCATCAGTTAATATTAAAATATGTCGGGTTTTTTCACGGCCAACTCAGAACCACTTTAGATTACGTTTTTAAAGTGAAACAAGAAAAACAACCCAAAGCAAAATTTATGTTCATCCTTTCGGGAACAGGAACAAACATGATCCAAATGTCTGTCTGTGTGGAAAATCTTCAGTTCCTGAGGTCGACCGCGTCTTATTTTGTCTCTGGCAAACCCGTCTTCAAACCTGCAGCTCCACACATGAATAATCGCCTCCATTAAGGCAGGAAACTAAGGCGCAGTCATTGTTTGTGCTGCTTCCCTTTGAAAACATCGTAAAGACACCCTGACAGTGAATCATGAGCGCATCGAGCGTGTGATTACAATCTTCACCACGCATTCTAACGAGCCCGCCGTTACGCCACGTCGCAGTTTCCATCAGTTGTGATTTTATATGACGGCGCGCGCTTGTCGGACGGCTTCACCGGCCGTGCTAACGGAGTCTGGAGAGAGGTCATGGCTGCACATGTGAGGAGGCTTTTTATAACAGCAGCACACACTGATTTATTTCAGGGGTTTGCAGAAACAGCAGGGCTGAAGGTGAGGACGACCAGACAGGAAACATGATTCTTTTCTTTGATAAAGACAGGATGGACTGATCGGAACAGCTTTGACCGATTGGTAAAACGATGCAGACCTGAACCCAGAAAAATCTACACAACTGAACTTCAAATGTTACCTGATGCAGCGGGAAAATATGTCATCTCTCTGCATGCCGACAGTCTGTGGGTGACCTGGGTAATTTCCTAATGCGTCCCTGTGGAAAGGAGCGATTCCTTGGTGAGCGCTGAGGTCACCTTCACCTGCAGGTGTGTCCAGAAAACAAACAAGGAAAACCAGTTTACTGCTGTGCCACAGCTGCACAGATGCTGAGAGGAAAAAATACTTGAAACTCAGATTCACCCACAAGTTAAAATAAAGCAGAGGAAAAGCTATTTTTAGTTTTTTTAAGTGCTGTCACGATGTCTGTGTTTGATGGTGGACCCAAATGCAGATGTGGTAGATGAGGCAGATGAGGAATGTTTTCATAAAAAATGATCAGAACTTACAAAAAACAAAGAAGAACGTAGGGAGCCAGAGAAGAATAAAAACATAAATCCAAGGGAAAACATCGGCAGGGTAAACCAGGGGAGAGACGGTTTACCCAGGAGGATCCAGCAAGGAGTAACTGAGAATGAGTTGAATATAAACTGGGATGATTGATTATTGAACAAGGAGCAGATAAGCAGCTGATTAGAAACAGGTTGCAGGTGTGAGGAGAGAGAAAGAGAAGCACTAAAGAATAACTAAACCTAAGGAACATAATAAACTAGAATCATCAAGGAAGGACTGAACTAAAGTAAAACAGGGAATAAACTAATATAATAAAGAGACACTAATGAATACAGAATAAACAAACCTCAAAACAACACAGGATTCTAACAGCTTCATGTTTATAATTAAGCTAAACTGAAACTACCTGGAACTGCAGTTGAGTTATCCATCCATCCATTGTCTTATCCTCTGCAGGAACATGGGGGCTGGCGAATATCTCCAGCAGTCATTGGGTGAGAGGCGGGGTACTTCCTGGAAAGGTCATCAGTTCATCACATACGCACACCTAAGAGCCACTTTAGAGACCAACTGACCCAACAGTCAGTGGCTTCATTTGAACCTTCATAGCTGAAGAGATGAAGCTTTTCTAAACACAGCTGTGATAACAGGAAATCCTCCTGCAGGCCTGAGTTACTGATACTGAACAGAGAAACTTTAAACTGGGATTAAAACAACTTCACAGCAGATTGTGACCTCAGTATGGATTATACTGAAAAGAAAAATATAATTTTTCAATAACACTTATATCCATCTTTGGTTTCTATGATAGAAAAACTAATTTTGTGATGTTAAAGATACCAGGGGCCATTTATGGTGTAACAGTGTAACAAACCAGAAAGGTATTAGATTGTAACTCCGGGTCTTTGTGCGTCTTGGTGAAATTAATGTCTGCTTTATTTAGAAAAACATATCCATCGTTATCTCATGAATAATTGTAAATTATCTTAGTCCAATAAGAAAATGAACAAAGACTAAATATTTTGAATGGGATAAAAACAAGAAAACTAAGCAGAATGATGGGGAGTTTAATGCAGAACAACAACATCCTATAAAATGTAATGTAAATGTAAAAAGACTAATTTGTGTGCTGATTTCATGATGAATTTGCTTGACGCAAACCCTAAAAAAACAACAAAACGCCTGACCTTACAATAAGTTTTGTGTTCCTGGGGAAGATTCACTCAAACCACAAAGTCTAAAAGTCTGTAGAACTTCTTCAAATTAAGTAAAAGTAATTATTTCAGAATAACAGATTTTAAAGCTGCTGTTCAAAGTAAATCTTCTTCTCTAACTTTACCTGATTTGATTATGAAGTCGCTGATCCCAGATCAGTGAGTTTAAATGAAATCAAAACGAGGGAAACCGCTCAGCTGCGGCGGCTCATTTACATTGGAGTGTGGGATTTCACCAGTGGGGAGGTGTCCCACTTTACATCCAGTGTTCAAGTCATTCATGTCCTAATTCTATTTCACGCTAATTCAGTCTCATGTATGAAGTGTCTTCACAGCGGGAATGGGACCAGTAAGCATCTGCTCCTCACACTCCTGAATTACTGCTCAACGTCTCCGTTGACGTTTTCTAAAGTAAATCTGGAATTAAAGCAGCTTTTTATGAAACACCAAGAAAGCAGCATTTATCTTACCCTGATAAATCATGAACGAACCTTCAAATTCTGATAAAATGTCGCTGTGCCACAGTTGAGCCTTCATCATACATAAGCTGGAGTTCTGCAGAAAAAACACAACAAGCTTCTGACTATTTTTCAAACCCAACTCCTCTAAGTGACCCAGAACAGCACAGTTCAAACCTCCGGCTCTCTGACATCCATTATGGTGACAAGGATAACTTTTTCAGGCTGGGAAAGTCCTGGTTGCTCTGTTTGGATATGAAAAGGGGCAGATTTAATATTTTAATCCCAGAAGTGTGTGAAACAGTTCATGAACAACCTGAAGACGAGGTGACTGTGTTGGAGTGTCCCACAAACTTTAAAGAGGCCAAAATTATGATAAATAACAAAAATCAAATGAATTCAGGTCTTATCTTTGGACAGAGCCAGGAGTAATCAGGCGTTGTGGCTCATCTTCAGTTATTAAAGCTTGAACCTAGAGATCGGGCCCAAAATCTGAGTTTGAACCTTCGCAGACGCATAAAGACAGTTACAAAATCAGCCTTCTGCCACCTGAAACACTGTTATTACTCTATAAATCACTGAACAGCTTAGCACCAAACTACATTATCAACCTTCCAGACCTCTCAGGTCTGTAAGGAGCCGCATGGAGAAGCAACATTCAAATCTGGAACGAACCTCCAGATAACAGCTGAAACACTGAGCTGTTTAGAGCTGCTTTTAAACCATAATAAATGGAACATTGATCAACTTGATGTGTATTGATGACAGTTTCCCAGATTGGTGACTGCACAATGTTTTTATGACTCTTTATTTTTATGCTTTTATCATGTATTACACTTTGTCCTGCAAAAATGCAAAAATGTGCGACACAAATAAACTTTTAAAGCTCGCCTTAAAACCCATCTATTTTACTCGGCTTTCAACTCCAGCGAGATCTAGTTTTACATTGTATGTTTGTTTGTTTTAAAGAGTTTTTATTTGTTTTTATCTATTTTATGTACAGCACTTTGTATCAGCTGTGGTTGTTTTAAAGTGCTTTATAAATAAAGTTGGTATGGTGTTAAGATTTGCCCCTTTAAGGTTTATTCCAGATGTTTGTCGTTTCCCAGCAACCTGCAATATCAGGAATGATGGACCTGGGTGATGTTTCACCAACATGTGGAGAGAAATGTTTCAAACACGCAGCTGGTGCGCGCGCGTGTGTGCGTGTGTGTGTGTGTGTGTGCGCGCGCGTGTGTGCGTGTGTGTGTGTGTGTGTGCGTGTGTGTGTGTGTGTGTGTGTGTGGGGGTGTGTGTGTGTGTGTGTGTGTGTGTTCATGTTGCCAGCGATGAGCTCACAGGATGCTGGGAATGAGCTGGTGTGTTGCTGCAGAGGCTGCAGCCAGCTGGAGTTGGGATTTCGCCATGAGTCAAACGATTTGGGTCGGAGTAATGAGACAGACACACGGAGAGAGGATGAGTAAGAAAGATTTTAAAGTGGATTTGGAAACAGGAAGACAGGTTGCTGCACCAAATTCCCTTGAAGTTTCCAAACGGTATAAAGGAGCTAATAAGCAGCCGGCGCAACCAGCTATAACTCTTGGTTTTCCGTCTGGCTTTAACAGACTCCTCACTGGTTTTGGTTTCAGTGAAGTTTCTGCAGATTTAAGACTTTTTAAGAGTTTAAAGATCGTTATGAATGGAGTTAAAGACTTATATCGCCATAAAAATATGAAAATACTTTTTGATTTACACATGATAGAAGCTGCGTTAGTTAGCTAGTTCGCTGATTAACAAGGGTATGCTAGCATATGAGTTAGCATACCCAATTGTCTCGAGTCACAAAGCACAATGAAGATATCTTTTTCAAACTTTTTCCAGACAGAAAAGTCCCACAAGAAAAAAATACATAAAATATACAAGATTCAATAAACCTGTCAATATAAAATGTTAGCATTTAAGGTGAACTTACTTCTTTATGTAAACAATTTAAGACAGTTAAGGAATGTCTACAATTCCTTCATAATTGTAGACAGGAAAGAAAGAAAGAAAGAAAGAAAGAAAGAAAGAAAGAAAGAAAGAAAGAAAGAAAGAAAGAAAGAAAGAAAGAAAGAAAGAAAGAAAGAAAGAAAGAAAGAAAGAAAGAAAGAAAGAAAGAAAGAAAGAAAGAAAGAAAGAAAGAAAGAAAGAAGTTATTGCAGATTTATATAATTTATATACATATTTATATATCTGGTAACATAAACTATACTAACTACGCCACACAGTTCAGATTAACTAACATGATGCATTCAAGTCTGACAAAATGTGTAGAAGTTTAAGGGTGTAAAAACTTTTGCAGTCTCAGTATCTGTTTAAAAATGAACTTGATGCAGTTTGTGTCTCTGTTCCTGCTTCTGTTCATTGTTCATTTATTTTCTGAATGACTCCCCCCTCCTCCCCTCCTCGGGGTCAATCCATGGGAAAAGAAAGTTTTCCTGCAGCCCTGAGAGAAATCCAGTTATTTTCGGACAACACGTCACCGGTTTTAGTTGCAGCCCAGAAACTTCTTTTCATCATCCAGCTCGCTTTCTTCCCTCTCTCTCTCTCTCTCTCTCTCTCTCTCTCTCCTCTCTCTCTCTCTCTCTCTCTCTCTCTCTCTCTCTCTCACTATGAACTTGTTGCACAGCTGTGTTGTTCCCTGTTCTCACGCACGGCGCCGCACGCCCGCAGCGGCGCACACATGAGCGGGGAGCTTGAGGAAACGTCAGCAGGTTTCGGCTCGCTGCGTGACATTGCGGTGCCCGTTTTCCTTTCAGCGAACGACTCAAGGATGGACGCGTGACGCACCGAGCCACAGGTATTCATTTAGCGGGGATCGTTGAAGATTTCTGCTAATTTTTTTTTTTTTTTTGCATGAAATCTCTTCCATTTTTGGAGGTTTATTCCTCAAGATAAATGGTTTTATTTTGGAGCATAAACAGCGACCCATGTGATAACCTTGAACCAACAGGTTCATTACGCACGACACTTTCTGTCGGAAAATACAGTTTTTTCTCAATTGTGACTCATTTATGGTCATGAAATCAGATTAATCTCGAGCATATGTGCTTGCATGTGTGTTTTTATTTCCTCCTCAGTGAGGGAGCGTGCACACACGTCAGCTCGGGCAGGGCAAAGCCTGCTTAAAATGCAGCGAATGTGACAGCCGAGCCCACAGTCCAGACTACAGCAGCGCCTGGACGGAAAGGTGAAGCGGGGCGGGGGCGGGGGGCACCAGCAGCATGACCGTGGTGCCCGGGGAGAACCTGGATGAGACGGTGGCACTGGCCGCGCTGTCCGCCCAGGATGTGTACGACCCGGAGCGAGCCGACAACCAGGAGTGCTGCGAGCGGGTGGTCATCAACATCTCCGGGCTGCGCTTCGAGACGCAGCTGAAGACCCTGGCCCAGTTCCCCGCCACTCTGCTGGGGGACCCGCGCAAAAGGATGCGCTTCTTCGACCCGCTCAGGAACGAGTACTTCTTTGACCGGAACCGACCCAGCTTCGATGCCATCCTATACTACTACCAGTCTGGCGGACGGCTCCGCAGACCCGTCAACGTGCCGGTGGACATCTTCATGGAGGAGATCAAGTTCTACGAGCTGGGGGAGGAGGTGATCGAGAACTTCAAGGAGGATGAAGGGTTCATCAAGGAGGAGGAGCGGCCGCTGCCAGAGAACGAGTTCCAGCGGCAGGTCTGGCTCCTGTTCGAGTACCCGGAGAGCTCCGGACCCGCTCGGGGCATCGCCATCGTCTCCGTGCTGGTCATCCTCATCTCCATCGTCATCTTCTGCTTGGAGACCTTACCCGAGTTCAGAGAGGAGGCCCGGATTTTCGAGGGGATGATGCCGACAAATGGCACCGCGGGCTCCGAGCCGCCGAACCCTTTCACGGACCCGTTCTTCATCGTGGAGACGCTCTGCATCATCTGGTTCTCCTTCGAGCTGCTCGTCCGGTTCCTCGCCTGCCCCAGCAAGCCCGCCTTCTTCAAGAACATCATGAACACCATCGACATCGTGGCCATCATGCCCTACTTCATCACGCTGGGTCTGGAGCTGGCGGAGCACCAGGGCAACGGCCAGCAGGCCATGTCGCTGGCCATCCTGAGGGTCATCCGCCTGGTCCGGGTCTTCCGGATCTTCAAGCTCTCTCGGCACTCCAAGGGGCTGCAGATCCTGGGGAAGACGCTGCAGGCCAGCATGCGGGAGCTGGGCCTCCTCATCTTCTTCCTCTTCATCGGGGTCATCCTCTTCTCCAGCGCCGTGTACTTTGCGGAGACCGACGACCCGGAATCGGGCTTCAGCAGCATCCCAGACGCCTTCTGGTGGGCCGTGGTTTCCATGACGACGGTGGGCTACGGTGACATGTGTCCGGTGACCATCGGTGGGAAGATCGTGGGCTCCCTGTGCGCCATCGCCGGAGTCCTCACCATCGCGCTTCCGGTTCCGGTCATTGTCTCCAACTTCAACTACTTCTACCACCGGGAGACCGAGCACGAGGAGCAGTTCCAGTACACGCACGTGACCTGCGGGCAGCAGCAGGCGCCGTTCGGCGAGTTCAAGCGGAGCGACAGCCGGCCGTCGCTGTCCAAGTCCGACTACCCGGACAGCGAGGACGCGGACTCCGTCAAGTACACAAACTGCAGCCCGCACAAGGCGTACGGCGGGAAGCTGACGGACGTCTGAGGCTCCTCGTTTCCTCCATCAGAGGGAATGTTTTCAGTTGGATCCCCTCTCCACTCCCGACACGGTCTTCCATCCAGCAGGACAACTGATCAGCCTCTGTAGCACTTTACTGTCGTTAGTGAGCAGCTTTAAGGTTTACATTCTTCTGACACGGGACCAAATTAAAACTCAGTCTCAAACTTAAACAACAACAAAAACAAAACGAGAAAACCCTCATTGAATTAAACACAAACAAGCTGGCGTGAAGCTTTTTCCAATACAGCAGCGCCATCGTGTGGTCAAAGCGGCTCACTGCGCCGCCGTGACAGATGCAGTTTCCATGGCAACCTTCCAGACTTTTCTGTTGTCGTCTGGTGCAGGAGCAAAAAGTGAAGAGGCTCCAAACCACCATGTTGTGGAAGCATCCATGTTGTTTATAAAAACCACCACAAAAACTGAGACGCTCTGCAGCTAATTACTGACGACAAGTCCAAAAATAATTAAATACAATAAAATATTAAGATTATAGCTTAATAACAATTCATTTTTAGATGTTTTAGAGCTCAACTTCGTCTATGGTGGATATAAATATGTTACAAAAGATAATTTAAAGAAATGAAAATGAAAAATCAAGTATGAACAGAAAATACTAAATTATATTCACTCTTGTACAGTAGCACAAAAAGGTTAAAATAGAAACAAATTGTGATACATAAAATGAAATTTCATTTTTTAGGGGATTTTAAGATAAAATGCAAATCAAGAACTAGTTTAAACTATAAAATTTAATCTATTTAATTGAGTTCAAATCTGAAAAGCCATCAAACTTTTCAGCAAATCATTACACTGTGAGATATTTTTGGTTCTATAATAATAATGAACAATAATTCAGTTTTAATGCACAAAAAACAAGAATGTATAAAGAAATTAGAAAACATCAAAGGGTTTTCCTTTAACTGAGTTTAGAAATAATAATGATAAAAAATCTCAAACTGAAATAGTTTTTCAAAAATAAATTCAAAGTATTTAAAATGAAAAGAACAGTCCCTTGCTTTCACAGAGATCTCTGTGGTTCTGATCCATACCTGATCCGAGCTGAAGGCCTTCAATGTCGGAGCTTCCTGGTCCAGCAGCACCTGGACTCACCTGGACAGCAGACGGAGCTGCTGGAGACAAAAACAGTGGATGTTTAACAAGCCGTTAAAAACCTTCACTGGAGTTTATCAGACTGATGGATGTTTGAAGGAAAAGTCCGACGACTCTTCATCTCAGACCAACATTCAGTTCTGGTCCCACAAGGTGAGCCATTGAATGTTGTGTTGTCACTTCCTGTCTGACCAACATCTTGCACACAACATTTTAATCAATAAGAAAATGTAGACAGATTTGGCTTAGAAATCCAGAATCAGATGGGGGCAGTACCAATTAATTTTGATCAGTTTATTTTAGTTCCTCCTGTTGTGTGAAGACAAAATGTACTTTTTTCATTATGATTGTTTCTTAAAATAAAGTTAAAAAGCAGAGAAAATAGAAATTAAACCTGATATTAAGAAAGTTTCAAAAAGCAGTTTTAGGAGGAGAAACAAAAACACAACTCAGTGTAAAACATTAAGATCTATCATAGAAGAACTTCAAAATAAAGCAAAGCCACCGGAGCTGTTAGAGGTTCGGACTTCCTGTTACACACAGATGTTCTGCATCAAAACAACAAAAACAAATACAGATTATCATATTTCATGGAAAAAAATATCAAGAAAGAAAAAGTTGTGCAACTCAAATTCATTAAGTTAAAAATGCAAAAGGATTTTTTTAGTTTCAAAAGTTTTATGAAATCTATATATTCCTTAAGATCCAAAACATAAAAAAAGAAAGAAAAAGCTTTGGATTGTAGCCTTAGTAAAAGAAAAAACACAACCTCAAAATTTTGGGGGTCATCAGTTTATTTCTGGTTGGTCAAATTTTTACATTTGGACTTGTAGTCAGGTGGCCAAACAAAGTCATTAGAAGGGCCTCAGATGGCCCCCGAGCCACACTTTGGACACCCCCAATCAAAGGGATTTTCCTACAGGTTTAGTAGTAATCAGGACTAAACTTCCCAAAAACAATCAATGACTTAACAGGTGCTTAATTCTGTAAATTAATACTACCAATAAAAACTACTTTTTTCTTTTGCATTTGTGTGCAAATTTTTATTACTATTAGTAGTAGTACTAGTAGTCATCATAGCAATAGTAATACTATTGTGCACCTGTAAATATAAAGTTTGCATAAAGGCATTTAAACATGTAAATACTTGTTTATCATTAGCATCCTCTGTAATCTGGCCAAAACCAGCTAAAAATGAATCTCAAAATGTTTACCAACAGAGAGGATCAGCTCAGCAAAGATAAAACTCAGCAAAATGACTCCAAACACACAAAATGATTTTACTACCAGGAAAGGTAGATACAAAAAGACCCAAAAACAGAAGAAGAAGCATAAATGAAGTTCAACAGGCCAGTAAATCCATTAAAACTTGAGAAAACAAGCTAGTAAAGAACCAAATACAGAGTAGGATGATATTAAATGCTTTTATGACATTTTATTCACAGCTGAAAAAAGATTCATAGAACTGCATTTAGATTTAAAATCTGGACAGAAACATTCAGCAGCTCCTGCTGGTTGTTGATGTTGGCCTGCAGGTGGCAGCAGAGGCTCTCAGAGTTTTTTGTTCTGTTTAATGCAAACACTTTTTAAAGCCTTTTTATGCCTCTATTTAACTTAGAATAATTTTCCAGCATCACCAAGCCATCACCATTTTCCAGCATTTATCTGCATCACCAAAGTGTTTCAGTTTTTAGTCAAATTCAGCAGACCTTAAAGATCCAATATGATAACATTATTCACACTAAACTGTGAAGTTGTTGCAGGAAATCACCAGAGTTGTGATTTCTACAGCTCCAAGCTGTGACGTCTGTCCTGGTTTCTGACCTCACGGCTCATTAAAAGTCATGCAGAAGTTTCAGAAGTTGGATCTGAATCTGCAGGATGATGGGAGGAAACAGGAGCCGATCAGGTGGAAGATCTCAGGCTCAAGTTAGACGGAGAGGAAATGAGGAAAAGGAGTAAAACTGACAAATTGCAGAAAGACAGAAAGAAGAGGAGGACATCAGTCGGTCATGTTACGTAACGCAGTGTCTCCATCCTGACAGCTGCAGACATGACAGCTCCAAGAAATATTAAACTAACTGCTTCCACCTGGAGGGATTTACTGCAAACGTCCTCCTCATGTGAACCGGAGCAGGCAGCTCCGTTCTGACAGGTGTCGTTAGTGTCCGTGTCCGCGCTGTCCCAGAGCCTCAAGGTCTCACCTGGAAAACCTCTGGAGTCCAGAGGAGACGATGCAGGGACAGACAAACACACGTTTCTACATCCAGCTGATAAGATTCATCATCAGAAACTTCTAGACCTCATTTCTACTCGCAAAATAAATATTTGTCAATATATTCAGAAAAATCACAACAACAGAACGTTATTAAGCAAGAGTCACATTAAAAAGCACAAATTAAACGGAAGAAAACAACATACAAATTCCTTTATTTATTTTTATACTGAAACAGATATCTAAAATATGGGGCAAAAAAAGGAAAAACATTATATAAAAAAAAAAATCTAATGGAATAATCTTTTTAGAAATAAAACATCTAAAAACATTTTCTTTAGAGAAAAGAGAAATAAATATTTGTAAAAAAGCTGCATTTTTCTCAAGTACAGAAAAAACATGAAAATTATTTAATGAAGTGAATATTTATTATTATTAAAATGTTTTTTTAAAAGTGTTAAAACAGAGATATAAAGTACTGTAAAAATATTCAAAATTATTTAATGAAATATATAATAAAATAACACATTAAAAAAAAAGATAATTTGTTTTATGAAAAGAAAAATCAATCATTTTCCCCAAGATCCTAAAAACCTTTTTTGTAGCTGTTTTATTGCAGATATCAACATTAACTTTTAACTAATGATGGTGCAAAAAAAACAGAGAAAATCTGTATTTTTATCACTTTTAAAAAAGGTTTAGAAAGACAAATCATAATAGTGCAATAAAATCAAATTGATCAAAAATCATTTTTCTTGATTTGTAAGAAAGTTCAAACATGTTCCAGTTTTTATTATAAACATTAAATAACTTTATTTTAAGAAATGTAACACAAACATATACTAAGCTTAACTGGACAAATTTCTGCTTTATAAGCTGCATATATAACATCACTGCAATTTAAATGTTAATTATTATTTATGTAACATTTTAACTAAGTAAATTACAACGTCTGCTTAGTTTTCCTTTAATCTATTTAAGGAAAAAAACAAAAAAAAATGCAAAACGGCGCCCAACTTTATCTGCATCACCAAAGTGTTTCAGTTTTTAGTCAAATTAAACTTTTTCCTGTTGAGCCTCGTGGCTTTATGTCAGAATAATTCAGAGTGAAATCAGAGTGTGCAGAGCGTTCAGTCTGTGTTTCATTCAGCCGCTGTTATTTAAAGGAGGCTTGATGAATTACAAACATGCGGCTTAAACTGTCTGAGCAGCTGCTTAGCAACAGGATCACAATAACATGTTGTTTACATACGCGGCTCCTGAAGGTACAGACTGAGTGCAGCGCCTCCTGCTGGCTCAAAAGTTCAGCTTTTTCTTTTTTATGCCATGGAAACAATTTGAATCTAACGGAAATCAGAGGCAGGAGTCCATTTCCTGGTTTAGAAACACTCTATCTCCATGGCAACAGTGGACGCTCCAACGTGATTGGCCGGCTTTCAATGCTACTTCCACCATGTTGTTTTGCTGTAGCGACGAGAAAATACACTTTGAAAAGATCAATTAATGGTTTTTATAAATTGATCAAAGAAAAATTGATTGAAATCAATTAGGATATATTTTTAAAGATGGCCGACGGGAACTGGGTGAATCTGAGCAACATGTTGCAGGACGGCAGAGAGGCAACAAAACCCTAGGAATGGAGGGATGAAGATTTAAACAAGACAGGAGAAGAGAGAATGAAGAAAAAGTGAAATAAAAGTCTAAACTTAACAATTAAAGAAGAAATGAGAAAAAAATAACCAAAAATTCAACCAAAAATAACCACAACACATATGAGGAGGAGACAGAGGTAGGAAGGAGGAAGGAAGGATAAATGGAGGAAGGGAAGGAAGGACACATTGGAGGAAGGAAGAAAGGGAATAAAAGAAAGGAAGAAAACAAGGACAATGGTGGAGAGAAGGAAGGAAAGAAAGAAAGGAAGAAGGTCATAAGGAAGGAAAACTTTGAGGTATTAAGGACATAAAGAGGCATCACTAAAGGGAGGAAAAAAAAAGACACAAAGAAAGAACAAGAATAAGGAAAAACTGACAGAAATGACTTTCCATGGTTGTAAAACACAGAAATATTTGCATATTAATCAGATAAAAATTTGATCGAGTTCATAAAGAATCACAACTATAAAACCTTCATCTTTATAACCAGCAGCAAGCAGATAAAGGTTGAATTAAAATATTAAACACATTAAACAAATGTGTTTAATATTAAGACGTCGGTCTTTCTAAACTTTACAGAAAATATTCAAAAACGTCTCCATCGATCGTATTTCAGGCTCTGCATGTTCGTCTCTCTGCGTCTATTTTTAGCTTTACTACAGAGAACCAGTGCAGCCCTGCTTCAAGATGCCAGCTGATAAAACCTGCCTGCAGTGAAGCGCACACAGTACCAGCAAGCAGTATGCAGCACACAACCTGCAGCTCCTGCATGCAGCACACAACCTGCAGCTCCAGCATGCAGCACACAACCTGCAGCTCCAGCATGCAGCACACAATACCAGCATGCAGCCTGCAGCACACAGAATGCAGCTGGTTTCCGGCTCGGACTGCTGGCCGCCAGCGCGTCCCGCTGCAGAGCCACACTGACCTGGAATCAGTCTGACAGGACGCAACGGAAAGCGTCACAAAACGTCCTGAACTGACGCAGCGTTTCACAGAAACATCAGAATCAGAATCTGATTTCAGGTTTTACAGATAATCCATGTTGTGTTTGTCAAAATAAACACACATAAAAGCCAAAAAATTTTCATCATTTTAAAGACTTAAACATGCAAACAAGATGAGAATTAATTTTAGGTGTAAACAGCAGAAAATAGAGAAATAAATAAACCTGTCACGATAACAATAAACCGACTCAGAAATGACTGCAATTAAGTAATAATAATAATTAATTAATACAATCAATGATTTAAGTAATAATTTAATTAAACCAATTTAATTATTTATTAAATAAATAATACTATTTTTTTAAACAGAAAACATTTAATCTTCCATTTTTAAATCTAAACCATTGCTGATGTCGATGGTCATCATCGACATTTACAACGTCTGAGAACAGCCAATAGAGATCAGAGGAGTGTGAATATTGGTAATATTACCTCAAAAATATCCACAATGACCAGAATATGAGGAGAAAATCTCCAAATGCTGACACATCTGTTGGCGCCGCAGCGTCAGTGAGAATCAGTATCAATATGTGATTTGATCTAATGAGGAGAATCAATTTATCAGCTTCAGATCAAATTCTCAAAGGTATTTCTCTGTATGTCAGATCATGAGTCATTTCTGAGGGTAAACTTTTAATCAGTGACTGAATTCAATAATTAAGCCGTTTGAGACGACAGTTTTCCTGAATATGAGAACAGGAAGGGAATTTTTCACTATTCCTCAGATTATGACTGGATGTGGTGAGGAACTTACAGACTTTTCTAAACTCAAAATATCAGACACCACCAGATATAATCGTTTGACCTCTTTGCACCATGATGTCATTACAGATCTTTGCTTTGTGGATTAAATGCAGAATTCAATCAAATTGCATTAAAAACTGAAAGTAGGGATATTAAAACTGACATAAAAACAACATCCGATATTAAATCTGCTTTCTGAGCTGCAAATAACGACTATTTTAGTTATCAGTTAATCAATTATTCTGGCAATTTATCAATTAATCAGATAAAAAAAAATTTACATTCCACAGATTTTCATCAACTGGTTAGGCCTTTTTAATTCAATATTAGAAATACATTAAAATACAAGGATAAAAAACAATTAAAATTCTTATTTTTAAATAGAAAAATAAGCATTTTACTACCTAAGTATTAACAACATACCGTTCTGAACTTTGGGAAGTTCTGAGTCTTATATTTTCTTACATTTTCAACACCTTGTACAAGCTTTGACTGTTCATGCTAATTTATCGTGCAGAAAAACTCATTTTAACTTCATTTTTTAATTTTTTAAATTATTAATATTTTCTTCTGGTTTTTAGTCAATTCCCACCAAGAACGTTTTTGAAAGTGTTGGATTTTGTAAAGTTTAAAGTCCAAGTTGCTGCAGCAAAAACATAACTAAGAAAGTTGCTATGGAGACTTAGCGACCTTCAAATCTGCCTCTGTTTGCTGCAGCTCTAATCAGATGAAATATTTACCATCTTTCATTAAATTAATTTTTGTTCCTCTTTTACAGGGAAAGATTGACGAACTCACTAACCCACTCCAGCCGCCACCATCCTCCTCATCCTCTCTTGCTTCCCTCCTCTGATGAAGAAAAAAAAACAAAGCTTGGATTAAATACGAAAACAAAACTTCACGGAAAACCCGGCTTGCGCTTGGACTTTTACAGAGCACAGACTCTGAGGTACGACTCAAACGTTACTACTTGAATCATCAGCTACGTCCTGCGTATACTTAGATGTTGTTTGGGAGGTTTCTCCTGTTGCTGTAGAGAACAAGAACTTGTTGTTGCTGTCTGTATGTCGCGTATCATATCCAAACCAAATCACTGCATGCTTGGAAAGTAGAGCATGAAAACAGAAGAAACGTGGGAACAACATCGACAGCTTGCAGAGAAGTTATCCTGTCAGACAGATGACTAGTTTTTTAAAGTATCATACTGTATATGTTTTATACCGGGAGGTTGACATGGTGAATTATTTTGTAGATTTTTAACATGTTTTTTTTTATTTTTTTGCCTTGGTGAAAACAAAGCAGCTCCAGCAGGCAGCTCTGATGAACATGTCTGCACCAGTGGGAGGAAAAATGGGGGTAAAAGTGTGAAAATGCATTAAATCCAGACAACAAATTATATCTGAATGTTCCTGTTTGGATCTCTGATCAGAATGCTGTATACCTGATTTATCACTACCTCAGTGTCAACTCACTGAAAAAAATAAGCTTTAACACCTGAAGGACTGATTATTATCACCAACACCGCTGTAGTTATCTGAAATGTTCTCAATTTAACCTCTAAAATATACAAAGAACTAAACTATAAAGATGTTTTCACCTTGATATCAGGTAGAAAAGCACATTTAGAGAAACTAAATGAGCCTCAGATGTCCAGCCTGAGTGAGAAAAGCAGCTTTTTTGCACATTGTTTTGTTTGTTTTTGCATTTTCTGTCAGCTTAAAAGGCAATGAGGTCCTGCAGAGTGGCTCTGCCTGTCTTAAACATTTAACAAGAATCAGTCCAGCACAAATTTAAATTTGAAATATATCTGAAATTTGGGAAGACAAATAAACTGGGGAACGGTATTATTGCTCAAATGTCTCCCAAATTATCTAAAAGACGCACATTTGTTTGGAGCACAATGAGCTGCAGGTGGAAACAAACCCCAAGGATGGCCGTGTTTTTCTTTGTGGTTCATTTTAGGTTCTTAACATTTATTTACAAACATTTGAGGCTTAGAAATATAAAAACAAAGTGACTGTCAGATTTACATGTCAGTCATAAATGTTAACTACTTTCAGTTTCCCTCTGGAACGAAGCTAGGAGAATTTTAAGCTTTTGTAAAATAACTCACTGTTTCTCAGTATAATACTGAAAATCAGATGGTTACCAGGGATTGGACGTTGTTGCTAACCCGTCACAGTGATGCCAACATTTTGTTTTGGGTAAAAATCCCATCCAGAAACTGCTGACTCTCAAGAATCACAGAGTTACTACATTTTGATGTTGCTGATATATATCAGTGTATCATCAGCATAGACGATGTTTTGGTTTTACGAAATCAACATTAAGGGTTCTTGTTTTAAAGAGCTTGGGATATCGCATCACATGAGAAGTTGCTAACTTTAAGACAGAACGATGTCCGTACTTCGACATCAAAGATAGGCTACACCATGGGGGGTCCTTGCAGGTTGTTGGAAATCTAGTGGGATTTATTAAGAAACACTTTCACAGTTTAAATTTTATTATCATATTGGTAACTATTTCTGAAGTTGGGCATCTGAAACAGGGCGGGCCATGACGGCCTCATCCATTGGCCGTGACCCAATCATGGCTCAGCATGGCACGTTCTGGCAAGTAGCTGCATTTTGGCACAGTTTGGGACAATTATGTTAGCTTGTGGTGCCAACGTGAGCATATGTGGTAAAATCAAAGTGGAACAATGCTGCTGATGGTTCGCCGAAGATCTCGGTAGAACATGAGTGTTTCTGATCCTCGTCTTGGAGAGGTCATATTTTTGGGCTTGCAGTGTGAAGCATTATCTTCGTTGGGGTGTTTAAGCATTTACAAACTTTTTCTGTAAAGCTGTGATGGGTTATTATCGTGATGTCAGTGTATCCTTGAAGTCCAAGCATGGCTTGGCTATTGTCACATGAAGCAGAAATGACCGCGATGGCTTCATGCTAGGCTAAAACCAAAATTATGACAATGTAACGGTGGTGGAGAAGTGTGAATGGGAATCTGAGAAAGTTGTGCAAAGTCAGAGCCCAGAATGTGTATCAATCATCAAGGTTTCCCCCAGAAAACCTGGTAAGCCCGGTTGTTGTGACGCTCGGGAGTCATTGTCATGTTAGGCCAGGTTATGGCTGGCAAAGTGTGGTTGAAAAGTTGTTGGGATGATCAAAAGGTTTTTCAGATTTTCTCAATTTGAGTTGGAGGAACAATAATTATACAACCATAAAAGTTGCCCAAAGACAGCAGCTTCCCTCCAGAAAATCAAACATCGTACAGAAAAACTGTAAACTTTATCGTATCTTTTTCTGTCAAAAATCTGAGCAGTTGTCACGCAAAGTTTCAAAACCGTGTAGAAATGTTATCACAAAGTTTTAGTGGTGAATGTTGATCTATGTTTGCACGTAGTTTTTAGTTCTGGATGTAGGAATGGCGCCACCTGCAACTCATCAGCTCAAATGTTCAAACTGATAAAACCAATCAAATTCAGGAGTTTCTTATATATACAGCTGTGGAGAAAAATAAGAAATCACTTAAAATGATCAGTTTGTCTGATCATTTTAAGTGGAACAATGCTGCTGATGGTTACTCAGATATATATCTTCATAGATATATATCCGAGTAAAACAAACATTTTATTCTGTGTACTACTGACAACATGTCTCCAAAATTCAAAGCAAAAATTGTATATTTACTTGCAAAAAATTAGAAACAGTCAAAATAATGAAAAAGATGAATAGAAAACAAGTTCATATTCATTTAGAAACAAGAATATTAATGTTTTAACTCAGGAAGAGTTCAGAAATCAGTATTTGGTTGAATAGCCAGCAGGTTTTCAGTTCAGTGCAGTGGCCTCTTCATTTTTCCAGAGCTGCATATTTGCTGAACTTTTTGGATTTACTCAGACTGAAAGGCAGGTGCTGTGGGTTGAGACGGCAGACTGAATCCAAGCTCTCGCTCTCTTGTTGAAGGTTTGGCGTATCGATAAACCTGCGTCACTGCAGCCCACATAAACACAGAAGTTCATGCACTCTGCAGAGTTCGTCCGGCCGTCGCTGCTTTTCTGATGCATAAAAACAGCCGAGGGAGATTTCAGTTGGACTGAAGCTCTGATGAGCTCTGACTGATGACTAATGTGTTCTGCGTACTGTAAGTGCAATAAAAATGCGGCGTTCCCCCTGTCGGCAGCGAACCGATTAAGACAGACAGCCGTGGCTGTGGTCAGACTGTTCATCCTGTAAAACAGCGGCTGTTTCGTTTTTCAGATGAAAACTTCAGGTTCATCACCGAGTCATTCTCATCCTCCAACAGGAAGAAGCAATAGATTCCTGCAATGTGGGAACTTTGAAGTGGAAGGAGTGTTTGCAAAACGCGTCACTATGATTTCTTCAGTTTTTCTTTATTCCATTTGTTGATGTTTATTTTTGTGATCTATTTTTGATAAAAATAAATCCTTAATTCTGATAAATCTCCATGTGTTTCACATTTTAACACATGAATTTTATGTTTTTTGTGTGCATTTTCATTTGGCGTTGATGTTTTAATGAGTACGGTTGGATTTAAAATGGTTTGAATCTCAGATTCATTCGTTCTCCGGTTAGAAAAGTTTCACATGTGGCTGAAAACAAGGCAGAGTAATAGAAAGCAATTTATTCCCTTTAACGGGGAAACTTCTTTTCACTAACTATCAAAAACTTTAAACTATTATAATTACAAAAGAAAATGTAACTGAACCAACACAAAAGATCACATTAAGTCGTATTAATGCAATAAATCAGCTCTTTTTCTTTATTTACATGAACTTTTTATATGGACTAATTGGAGAAAATGGTCAAATTTTGCAATTTAGTTTTTAAATTGTCTAAAAATCTTCATCTGAAGCAGAATTGAAATTGAAAAAGTGTTTAAAGTGCTTCAATAAGCTGAAATTGAAACTTAAAAACATTCCAAAGTAAGATAAATGAATGAAATAGTTAAAAAAAATTAATCATAAGAATAAATATTTTATGGTTTAAGCATCTCAAATTTAAAATTTCATTTAAGAGTAAATAATTAATTTCAGCACTGGTCATGATTTTCAGACAGTTTAGGGCTGAAATTGATGAAAACATTTTCAATTCTTCTTTTAAGTTTCTCTAATTATGTGAGCTACATCTACTCTGATTATCTGACTAGTCTAGCCTAGCCTAGCCTAGCCTGGCTAGCATAGCATATCGTAGCCTAGCCTGTTACATATAGGAATATCTGCACCATTCCCAGTCAGACCTCCACCATCTCTGACTGGTTTTGACCATAAAATAGATCTGGTTGTGTTTTCAGTCAAATTCATATTAATAAATCAAACAGATCTCAACTCAAGCAGGTTTATTTTGGATAATTTTTGATGCTATCTTGGAGTAATTTGGGGAATTTCTTACATCAATGGATGTCAAATATTTTTCTCATCTTGTTCTACATTACCTCAGATTATTGTGTCGCTTTTCAAATTGATTGATCTTCTTCATGTTGTCATGACTGATGCTACAGTCAGAGGAAACAGTAGGAAAAGAAACTGAACCAAAATGTGATAATCACATTTTCTGACTTAAAGGAAGTCAGTTACTTTTTTCTGGTCTAGATAGCATTTTCTTTAAAAAAGGTAATTTTCCAAAAATAGCTTTTATTTACTCTGGCCATTTTATCAAACTTGGTATTTTATTTAAAATGAAGCTTTACCTCTGGATACAGAGACCCTCTGATTTATTCAATGTAATAAAAATAGTTAAACAACCATAACATTCATGTTGAAACCAACATATCAGACGTAATTTACTTCACATTTACAGCATCAGATATTGCTTGATATCTGATGCCTCCAAAGCAAAATGGACGACTTTAAACTTCTAATTTAAGCTGAGCTGCTCATTAAGTGGCCATTAATTCATAAGGTAAGTTAGGTTTGTGAGTTTATTGTGTGGTTATGTAAAAGACGCCCCTGATAAGAAACCAGCAGTGCTCCATCTATATGCAATAACACATAATGAAAATATCTTCAGTAAATTTGTCTGCTTGTTTTTAACTGTGCATAAAACCTTTATAGTGCCTTAATCAGAATCTGTTGCAGTTATTTTTAATTGATCTCAAGTACTAAAAATAAAAAAGTGATCATGTTAGCACTACAGTGATGCAACCGACTGGTTGGACATAGAAATAATGTATCGTCGATAAATGTTTGAATGTATAGTATTGAGTCTTCCTGTGTGACAAAGTAAAGAAAAATTAACTGCAAATACGTCAGAATTTCACAAAGAAAATGACAGTTTAGGATAATTTTCAGGACATCTGATTATTCTAATTAAACTTTTTGTGTTCAATTGATCTGAACAAAAAAAGAATTAAAAACTGCCCATTTGTTGGTTTTTAACAAC